AAATAACAGGGTAAAATAGTTTTAAGATTTTATAAAAAACTCAACAAAATACCAAAAAAAGTGTTTTTCAAAGGAGGGGGGGGGGGGGAGGGGTCTGAAATAATTATAATCTACTTAACAATATTTTACTATAAAACTGTTCATAACAACTGCCTAAATAAGATATAAAATTTACCCATCAATTATAAAATAGCTTTTTTTGAAAATTTCAACTTTCAAGTTAAAAGTTTTCGGGAAATTTTCAACCCTATTTATTTTGAATCTTTTTTTTTTTTTTTTTTTTTGTTTGGTTTAACATTTTATCATTATATTTTGATTTTTTAATATTTTTCATAAAAGTGTATTACTATTTTAATGCAGACACTGTATTTTTATCAAAAATTAACCATATATTGTAAAGGGCTTTATGACAAGATATCATGATCTTCTCATTACTAACGTAAAAATTGTAAAATATATCTTGTTATTGTAATATTTTTAAACGGCAATAAAAAGTATAAAAATAGATAATTACAAAAATATAAATAAAATGAATATAAATTGAAATAAAATGAAATTAATATAAATAATATCGTTATAAAGTTTAAGAAAGTGTGAGAATGGTTTGTGATAATGTAATACTTTATTTTGTGTGTGCTAATGTAATACATTTTTTTTAAAAAATGTTTTAAAACCTCATTTTCATGTAGTTATAGAGTAAATTAAAATAATTACTTTATCTTTTAGTTTTTAATTGATTTTATCTACTTTTAAAAAAAAACACATTTATAAATCAAAATCTTTTTGTTTTAATTGGCGTTTGGTTTCCGTTTTAAACTATTTAAGAGAACTCTTTCCTAAAACAATATTTAGAAAACTTTTACACAAAAATGGTTCGCAATCCAGAATTCAGTCTATTTAAATTGAAATTTTTACTCTACATAGACTATTTGTCTGGTAGATTAGATTTGTTTTTAAAAATAAATATTTTTTAATTTTAGTTCTAAAATTATTATACTATAACGATTAAAAATATTTTGTCGTGTTTATCGTTACATTTTATTTGTTTTTAACTTATTTTAACGTTATATTTTACTTGTATATAATATTATTAATGTCGTATATAATACTATTTCTTTGTTATCACATGTTTAAACACTTATAAATATTTGTGGTAATTCTAAGGAACTTCTTTTTAAAATGTTCCACTAAAGATTAGAGTGATAATAAAGCACAACACGTCATTGCTTATCTAACAATACCGCCCAAATCAAAAATTAACGGTTTTAATTTTTTTTGAATGTACTTTGATAAGCTACTTTTCCCACGAGACCATATGTCAAATTTAACACAATTAAACCAACCAAATCCATTCAAAATTTATAAACTTTTGAAATCAATGAAATAATATTTCATATATTGCATATCATGCAGTTTTTCACTCTCATGTTAATTCAGTAAAAATGACTTGAGCGGTGTAGTTAGATAAGCGTCGAGGTGCTAACTACAATATTTTTATCCATTATTTACCCACAAAAAAAGTATATAAACGTATAATTTTTATCCATTATTTTCCCACAAAAAAAGAATATAAACGTATAATTTTTATCCATTATTTACATACAAAAAAAGTATATAAACGTATATTAATGACGCAACGCAGAAAAATATACTGATTTAAATACTCATCTTTCCTCTATAAATATATTCAAACTATTTAAACATATCCTTTTTTTACTATCGCCTCTTTCTATATAGCTCTATAAATATATCCAAACTATTTAAATATATCTTTTTTATACTATCGCCCTTTTCTATATAGATTGTTTTTATAGCTGTTATTGGTAACTTTCATAAGAAATTAAATTGGTATCTTTCATTAACTAAATTAAAAAAAAAATCCGTTTTTTTGATATTTGGCTACATTACACACCTAAGATATTTGGCTACATTACACACCTGAGAGGCTGTACTTTAACTACGTCAACATTTTTTTAGCACTTTTACCATTCCCTCGCCAACAACTTGTCAAACTTTTTCCCGATACCCCTCCTTCAATTTAAAAATTGAATTAAAATGGAAAAAAAAAAAAACATGTTTTAAATAGTTTCCAACAAAAACAAAAATATGATTTCAATTGAAATGTTTAGAAAACAAATTCATTCAAATTTTAACTTAGGAACATATTTCAAGTCAATGTAAGCATTTAAAATTAAAAATGCTTGCTCTGAAAAAAAAGTAAAAGGCATAAAAAAAAAATTTAAAAACTTTTAATTTAGGAACATATTTCCAGTTAATACCTACAAAGACTTATTCTGATTAGAAAAAGATTAAAGAGTTTACAAAAATGTATACACCTTACACCTTACACGTTTAAATTACGAACATATTTAAAATTACAACACTTTAAAGACTTTGTTTTTATATTTAGAAAGACTTGTTCTAACTTCAAACAGAAACAAAAGATTAGAAAGTTAACAAACTATAACTACTTTTTTGCATTTAACAGATTTAAAATGCATTTAACAAATTTAAAATGCATTTAAAAAGTTTCAAAAAGAGGGGTCAGCAACCTTTTGAGACGGAAAAGCCAAAAGTTAGAATTTTCAAAACCATTCAGTTTTTGAAGAGTAACTAATATCTATATTTCAATATTATATTAATATTTGTGCATGGAGCTAAAGACTCGCATCTTGACATAGAAAGAACCACACAAGGCCTGCAAGCCGCAGGTTGCCGACCCCTGGTATAAGCATTTAAATAATAAAATGTAGACTAGTACAGCATAAATCGTTTTTGTTTACACAGCAGACTAAGCAACAGCAAAGTTGAAAAAATAATATTTTTACGAGTAAACATCTCGTGTAAGCTTATTTAGTTCTATATGTGTCGGGTCTTTTTAACGCGCAACACGGTTTTTCAAAATTAGGATTTTAAATAGCTTTATTAAGACACTGAAGATTGAGCAAGTGTGTAACACAGGACTGCAAACGCAGTTTTTTTCTTAAATTACCTTTTTTTCTTTTCAACTGTTGTCAAAAAAAATTTAGAACCCCTCCCCCTATTATGCTACTGAACTACTAATATTCTTATTCAAATCTTTACAACTGGCGGCTGAGGATTTTGTTTACTAGGCTTCGTCTTAATAGCACTGCCATTAAAACTCTTTAAAACTGTGTTTTAATTGAGTTATACTAAAAACAATCAAACACTTGAACACTGGGATTGACACGTTTAACAAAAAGGACACAGACCGATATCCGAAGCGTTGAAATCCCTAGTGACCGCCCTGGAGAAAATTTCGCGCACGCCCATGCGTATTGGCCAAGATTATCACAATAGTCACAAATGTCAAAAACTAAAATATCATTATTACCAAATATAAAAATCTTGTATACCATATATCATTAAATTGAAGTATATTAGAAACTGATTATTTAATTTTTCATACTTATGGCTATTATCAGAGGCTATTGTAGACCAGTTTCAGCAGCGTTTTAGTTGGCAATTTTTCCGTCAGATATCTATGCAGCACACGCTGGGACGGGAGGTACCGCGGCCCAATATTGTTTCCTGGAACAGACCTTGAATATAATAAAATGATATCTATGATTTAATATGTATTATTGTAATGTTACCTTTTTTTTTTTAATTTATTTTTCGTCATTTGACACATTTTACAATGTTAACCTTACATTCAAATAAATTGTTAAAAAATACAGTAAAAACGGTAATATTGCCTTTTTTGAAATTTTCAACAAGATTTTTTTTTTAACTACGCAATCTTATGGACGTAATTTCCGAGAATTCCAATACAAAAAATTTACAAAAAAATAAAATAAAAAAACTTGATGTTGCTATTTATACATACGGCAAATGCACACAGCTATTTATACACTTATCACATGTACTTATCACATTATCATGTTCCCCCTTTTTTTTTCTGAAGGACTTTTTTTGTAATAGAAATTTCAAAATATAGAGGACTTTTTTTTAGAAATTACCGATTGTAACCCACCCTTCCACCCACAAATACACTTAAAACCCGTGTCGTCTGGCTTGATGGTTTTTGTAAATACGTTGACTTACTTAAATAGGAAGAACATGCAGGGTGTGTACATTAGGGCGGGTCAAACTTTTCAAATTTTGGATATGGATATAGGAGCGTGCGCAATATTTCTCGATGGCCAAAAATCACATAATATTTTGATAGATTACCCATAAAATCAAAATAACATTTCCGATTATAATTTAATTTTTTTTTTTTACTTCAATAAAGCGAAAATACAAAATAAATTGCTCTAAAAAAATGATGTTTGATCAGAATTTAAACAAGGGATAAAAATATTTTTAAACTTAATTTCATGTTAGCGCAAAATTATAAAATAAAGACGTGTATTAAAAAATAATAGCGAATGATTGCGTTTTTAAAAAGGTGTACTTTTACAAAATTCTAAAATCAAGTTTAGAGTACTTTCTTTTTATTTTCAGATCTATTTATTTATGTGAATCTTGATAACCATAAAATTCTCCATTATAGTGATTAAGGGAAAAGTACTTCCAAAATACTAAAAGTCGTTTTCACACAGTAAAATTGATTTATAATATAATATAATATGTTTACTATTTTGAAAAAAAATAATTAGAAATTATGCTTTTTATTTATCGCACTGGAAGAAACTTTATTCTTTTATTTGAGTAAAACAACCCAATAAGGAAATATGGTTGTTTTCCTCGCGAGTTTACACAAAATGGATAATTATAACAATTACTACTTAATTTTAGCAACAGATAAGTAGTTTGATAAAAATGTTGCAAACATAATAACTTATTCTAAAGAATATTTATAGAGCGAGCAAAAAAAAAATCATTTCAAAATGAATCGCTAACTTGAAAAAAGGGACATGCCCTGCAAAAATTCACATAACATGTCCTTTTTAAGTTAGCGATTCAAATAACCTTATACTTTCCAAAAAGCCCCGAATTACGGTAGCGAAAACATTGTTTTTTTTTAATGTGAAGATAGGCGCTTTTAGATAACAATTTAATAATTGATTTTAATTAAAAAAAAATGCTGATTTAATTTTTAAATGATCACTTGTTTTGTTTCTAAAATTTTTATCTTACATTGTACAAAATCAAAACATGGAGAAAAATAAGATTGAAATGATTACCTCGACAAATGATTACCTCGTATTTCTTCCAAGAAGAATCTTTTCTACTCATATACTATGTAAAAACGATCTTCAAAACATTTCTTCTGACAATTTGCTCATTACTTCCGGTAATTTAAAAAAAAACCAGTATGAAAAAGCCAGGGAAATGTACGAGCAGTTAAACAATTTACCAGTTTTTGCTAAATATGATTTAGCCTGGATGTATTTTAATGGTCTTGGTGGCGAAAGAAGGGTGGTATAAATATTTAATTTTAATTCAAAAATAATTTCATTTTCATAAAATAATCTTATTAAGTTGCTTTTTACTAAATTACCGACAATAGTTTTATAACTCTTCACATTAACATAAAATTTACAATTTTAAAATAATTATTTCACATATTTGCATTTATAATAATCTATTACATACTTTAAATTATTTTCAACATATATCATCTATAGATATAAAAATGATAATGTATTATTTAAAATTATAAATGAAAATGTATGTTTGATAAATTTATTTTTTAATAAAATGCTATTATGACAAAGCCATAATAGCATTTATTTGGTACATAAAATAAAATAATTTCATGACAAGAGCTATATTACTATCTTATTATTTTTATTTTCACTTAGTATCTCATGATTTTTTCTTCAACTGCTTTATATCATATATTGAATTTTCTTTTTGGCTTTTTTAAAAAAGTCTAAAAGATTTACTTCTAGTCTGAAATATAAAATATCTCAAAACCAATCTTTTCTAGTAAAGTTTCCTTGAAAGGTTTTATCTCTTTTTTCCAAGAGTTCTTTCAATATGGCTATTTTACCATTGGTTTCAAAAAGAATATTTGTTGAACTCTCATTGATTTTTTTATATATTGCATTAATGCTGCTGCTCAATCTTAAATTTTTTAGACGGAAATAGTAATTATTCAGTGATGATATATTTTTAAAATCTTCAAACTTTGTCATCATTGCATTTGTGTTAGATACACATGTTTCTGAATTATTAATTTTGGTTAAAAGGTATGCTTGCTTTAACTTTAGTTCTGAAAGTTCTTTATGAAGGTGTTCAAATAACAAATTATTGTTTGATTTTTCTATGTGAGTGGCTTTAATGGTCTGTTCAGGCAAGTTATTTTGATTGAATGCTTCAATTTGTTCTGAAATTGTAGATTGCATTATTTTTACTTGATTAAAGTTTTGATTTTGCTCTTTCTGGTTTAGTTTTATTATTGATATTTCTTTTTGTAATTGTTGTAGTGTTTTATTCATGTTTGACGTTTCAATTTCAAATACTTTTTTCATGTGTTCTGATATATTTATTTTGAATTTTTGAAGAGTAGCATCGATTCCTTTAGATAAAAGCATTATTCCACTTCTTGTTTTGTTAACATGTCCTGAAAGCATCCAACAACTCTGATTTACATTATCAAACTTTCTGTTAATTTGATCAATGTGAGTTGCATTAATTGTATTGTAATTTAAAAGTTGCGTTAAATTGTTTTGTTTTGAGTTTAGTTTATATATTTCTTCACTTATATTTTTTATTAGGTTTTTTATATGAGATGCAAGTTTTGTTCTTGAGTTGTTTATAGTTTTTGGCATATTATACATAATATGTATTTCATTTTTATTCTGATTTATTTGTTCTGTTAGTAATTTAATAGTTGATGTAAGTTCTGATTTAACTTTTTGCGTGAGTTTAATTGCATTATCTTTAATTTCTTTTAGTTTTACCTCCATAGTTTTGTTCAGATTCATAAAATTTAAATTTACAAAGTTAGAAAGATTTTTGTTGCTCATTTCAACTGGAATTTTATCTGTCTTTAATTGAATTTCAGAATATAATGAAGTCATATTTTTCATTATTACTTTTTTTGTATTAAAAAAAAGAGTTGATAATTCATTAAAGTTTTTTTTTAGGTCATTTACCTCTTTGTTTAACTGTCCAGACAGTGCCATAAAATTATTCATCACTTCAGTTTCTATTTTACTTATATTTCTTAAAAGAAAATTATTATTTATCTTTCTAGTATTTATTTCTGTATTGAATCTCTCTGATAAAGTATCCATATTTGATGCTAAATTAATTGATATATTATTTACAAAGGTAGACAAGTTGTTATGCTTATGGTTAGTTGCAATAATTTTTTTTTCAATTTGGTTTGATATATTTTCACCTTGTTTAAGTGTTTCAAATAGGGTTGTTTGTTGTTTAGAAAGGTAGTCATGTCTGGAAATTATTCCACCAAATGATCTATTAATATGTTGTTGATCATATGATAACTTTGATAGTACCTTTTCAATTGTTTTAATATGAGAAGTCAAGTTTTTTACTGTATTAAAAGTGACTTTAGTTTCCTCTCGTAACAAATTATCTTCATTGTTCTTATTCTTCAAGTACTCATTCATTTTTTTATTACTTTCAGTTAAAAATACCAATTTATCATTTATTTCCTCAATATTGTTTTTATTGTTTTGTTGATGAGATTCCAATTTTTTGTTTGTTTCTAGAAATAAATCAATTTTTTTTTCAAGTTTTTCTTCTTTTTTGTTCACCTGGTTGATTTGTTCCAGTGCTTGGTTTAAAGCATCTAGCAATTTTTGGTTGTTTTTTTCAACATTATACAACTTTGCTTCAAGTAAACTCTGTTTGTGTTTTAATTGTGTTTCAGCTTTTGTTAAATTTTTAATTTTTTCTTCTAAGACTAATTGGATCTTTGTAAGGTTATTGTTTAGCCCATCCATCGCTGTGGAAAGGTCATCAATTTTGTGAGGTATTTCTTCAATTGTTATCTCTGCTATATTTTCTGCAATAAGTGCAAACAATAAACAAATTTTTATCAAAGCCATCATATCGATGCTTTATTATTTATTGTATTCATTCAGTTTTTACTACTAATTTGAATATGTTCACCTCTTTGGTATTATTCACAATAATATGTATTGTTATGTTTTGTTTTGGATTATAGGAAATGTTCTTTTTGTTCCCCACTGAATTTCTGTTTACTTATAAAATTTAATAAAGATTTTATTTGCTAAACGCAAATAGATAAATTTATATTTTTTTCCAAATGACGTCTACTTTAGTTTTTTAATGTCATACAAAACGGACAAAAGCTTTATTTAAATAAAATGTTTCCTGAAAAGACAAAATTTGTTTAAAGATAAGAGATGTTTTTAAAAGATCAAAGTTTTGATCATTGTTTGTTAAGCAAACAATGATGTTGATTCATCAACTTTTTTGTTATTTAATGTGAAGGGGTAATAAGTTGTTTTAAAATATTAAAAAAGTGTTAAATAATATTTTTGATCTGAAAGCTTTCTTGATATTTTTTTTCTGGGTGGAAACATTTAAATACTAGTATATAAATACATACATATATATATACATATAAATACATATATGTATATATATATATATATATATATATATATATATATATATATATATATATATATATATATATATATATATATATATATATATATATATATATATATATATAAATACATATATATACATATAAATACATATATATATATATATATATATATATATATATATATATATATATATATATATATATATATATATATATATATATATATATATATATATATATATATATATATATATATATATATATATAAAAAGAATAGAGTTAAAGAGCTTGGAAATGGTTGACAGAAGACTTGAAAAGTTGTAGGTTGTAAGGGAAATAAGAGAGTTCCAAAGGAATGAGTTCCAAAGAGTTGAAGTATATATAAGTATAAAGGTTACAACCCTTAGAATTAGGGTCGGCAATGCCGACCTAACTGCCAAAATGTTAAGAAAGTGTTTTTTTGGTCTGCAATTTTTTTTGACTTTTTTTTCTGGGTGGAAATATATTTAAAAACTGGTGTGTATATATATATATATATATATATATATATATATATATATATATATATATATATATATATATATATATATATATATATATATATATATATATTAGGATGACATGGGTAAAAAACACAGTTGTCCAAGTTATTGATAACTAAACCAATGATAATAAAAGTGTAAGTCACATGACTAACTTTTATCCAATCATGTTGCATGTTCTATGCTGCATGATTTTAAATTATCAATTATCTCAAATGTAAAGAATTGATTTTCAATCTATGCGCTAGGCAAAATATAAAATTAAAAGTTTTAGATTGATTTTATTATCTAGTTCATAAAACTGAAAAGCTTGACAGCATTACTGTTTCAATACCAATTAGAACTCTGTCACATTTTGTATAGGCATGACACCTCTATAGAGTGCGACAGAAACATGGCCATTAAAAATCAAAATTTTCTGGCAGAAACACAAGACGATCTCACAAAAAAACCATAACAATTTAATATTGTTTATAAACATGATACAAAAAAAATTTCTGAATTTCGCAGAGTTTCAAAGCCAAACTTTTTAGTTGTTTGTTGATATATTAAAGGATAGTTAAAATTTAATTATGTAAAATTAGAAATATTTAATTTAATGTGTGTTACATCCTAAATGTTTAGATCAAAAATCGAAGTTCCTGATAAACTAAAACACACATACATAGCTCTGTTGCTTCTTTTTTGTTAAAAGTTTACTAAAGTCTTACTAAAGCGAAACATTTTCTGAGTGAACAAAATAAGACATTATTTGATATAATTTTATCTTATTTTTGAAAAATTTATTTTTCTTTGAAATTAAACACATTTTTATTAACATTGTGTTCACAATTGCTTTTTGTATGGTTCATACAAGCTTGATATAAAGTGATAGAACACAGGCATCATAGAATCATCTATGGTAAATAGACAAGGTTGGAGAAGAGATAAGGTTGCAATGCTATTTTGTTTAAAGTTAAAAAAAAACTTTCACATAATGTTTTATTTGAATTTTGTTTTATGAAAAGAAGGGGGAGGGGAGGGATGGCTTTATTACAATCAATAATTTCTGAATTGAGTTTTTACATTCAAGAATGTTTACAAATAGTAAATTTACTAATATAAAGTAAACTATATTTTTTTAATAAAAAGTAGAATAAACTGGTTTTAAAGGTTGAGAATGAATTAAAAGCTTTTAGTTAAAGGAAGGTTGTTCCAACTTTTAGTGCTTTGATATTTTATAGATTTATGCCCGTAATTATGAAAGCGGTGTTTTGAAACAGATTTAAATTACTATCCCATCACACACTTATTACTTTGTGGTTGTATATTACAGGAATTAT